CTCCTCCTCTTCCTGGTCGTCCTCCTCCTCCTGGTCGTCCTCCTCCTGCTCGTCCTCCTCCTCCTCCTGCTCGTCCTTCTTCTCCTGCTCCTCCTGCTCCTCGTCCTGCTCCTGCTCGTCCTCGTCCTCCTGGTCTTGATCGTCCTCCTCCTCGTCGTGCTCTTGCCCCTGCTGAAAATGTGGCCCAGGAATGGGAGTTCTGGGAAGTCGAAGAGCACGAAGTTGCCTACAGTTGGCTACGGGCATTCAAAATGTGGCCCGGGAATGGAGTTCTGGGAACTCGAAGAGCACGAAGTGGCCTACAGTTGGCTCGGGGCATTCAAAATGTGGCCCGGGAGTGGAGTTCTGGGAACTCGAAGAGCACGAAGTGGCCTACAGTTGGCTCCGGGCATTCAAAATGTGGCCCGGAAATGGAGTTCTGGGAACTCGAAGAGCACGAAGTGGCCTACAGTTGGCTCCGGGCATTCAAAATGTGGCCCGGGAATGGAGTTCTGGGAACTCGAAGACCACGAAGTGGCCTGACTGTTGCATCCGGGTATTCAGAATGTGGCCTGGGAATGGAGTTCTGGGACCTCGAAGAGCACGAAGTGTGTGACTGTTGGTGAAAAACGAGCCCGGCACCTGCCGCCCGGCAACTCCCAACACCTGCCCGGACCCCCCTGTGGAGTGATCTGCTGCTCTCTTTTGATCCCACTAGAAACCTATCAGTCTTCGCTGTTAGGTAAATTGTTGATTTTCCATAGTGTTCTTCGACGTTTTTTGCTTTTCCGCCTTTCCGGCTTCCCAACGCTCCAAGACGCGCGACGAGGCCCCAAAGATAGCCCCAAGATGGCCCAAGAGGCCCCCAAGACGGCCTCCAGACGGCCCAGGACGGCCCCAAGACGGCCCAAGAGGTCCTCAAGACGGCCCAAGAGGGCCGATTTGGAGGCGGGGAGGGGGCCAGGACGAGCGCAGCACGGCCGGGACGAGCGGTTCCAGGGCTTTTCCGGGCCCAAGAGGGCCTCAAGACGGGCCAAGAAGGCTCCAAGAGGCCTCCAAGACGGCCCACGAAGGCTCCGAGACGCCAAACGACCCCTCCAAGACGCCCAAGATGGCCCCAAGACGGGCCAAGAGGTCTCCAAGACGGCCCCCGAGGTCCCAAACAAGCCTCCCAAGAGGGCCCCAAGAGTCTAAAATTGTTGATTTTCCATAGTGTTTTTCGATGTGTTTTGCTTTTCCGCCTTTTCGGCTTCCCGACGCTCCAAGACGGCCAAAGAGGCCCCAAAGACAGCCCCAAGATGGCCCAAGAGGCCCCCAAGACGGCCTCCAGACGGCCCAAGACGGCCCCAACACGGCCCAAGAGGTCCCCAAGACGGCCCAAGAGGGCTCCAAGACGGCACCACGAGGGGCCCAAGAGGGCGACCAAACATGTTGAAACTCTAGCTTTCTGCCCCCAGGAGCCCCAGGGGGCCCCAAGAGTGCCCCAAGAGGCCCCCAGAGGCCCTCACGAGGCCGCCCAGACGCCCCAAGGAACCCCCAAGAAGCACCCCAGAGGCTCCGAAACGGCCCCCGAGTGGCTCCAAAACTCGCAGTGTCGCTGTCCGCTCGGACCTCCCCGCGGAACTGCCCGAGACCCTCTGGCGGTGGCGGCGAACAGACACCAAACAAATATCACTCGCCTTTTCACCCCTTCGCAGCTTCTACTACCCCCAGATTGGCATAAACAAGGGGTCGGCGGTGTGGCGTAAGCCTAAGAATCGAATCGGCGGAAATTGGCAAGCCACTGAGGCCTCCATTGAGAAACCGACGTCCAAGCTAGAATCAGACATCGAAACGAATGGTAAACGAGGTCGATCGGAATCGGACCGAATCGAGCAAGAGGAATCGATATGACTTGCTCACCCGATACGCTCGTCCGCGTCTCCACGAGAGTCCAGCGGGTAGTGGTCCGGGAAGAGAAAGACATATCCCTCTGTCTCTTCGATGGCGACCGCGCGTCCACGACCTCTGCACTGGGCATGTTTTGTCTTCTGCCTGGGATACCTGCCATGACCCCTGCTGTCATCTTCGTCGACTACTGCTCGGGCTCCGAGCCTTTGTCGCCAAGCGTCTGCTCCATGGACAGTTACAGATCCATCGCCGAGTATGTGACGTTCTCGTCCAGTTACGTAAGCGAGGCCACTCAAGAACTCCGAATACTGTGGAACCCTGTCTTTCGATGTCTGGCACTGCTGGGAAAATGAAAACGTTCGGCGCTCACCCGCAGAGCTTCGCAGCAGGGTTGGCGTCCACACCTGCAAGAGCCTCAGATGCGAGGTACAGTGGAGGCCCATGCCAAGAAAGATCCTGCTTGCCTCCAGGCTCTAGGGTGCCCTGGGTTTCTTTGGTTTCGATGGTTTTGCGATGGACAGCGCGACGTTCCCACACCCACAAATCAGTGGACGGCCTGGGGTCTCAGGGTTGGGTTTCCGGTGGAAGCTTTCTGGTAGTCGGGCCTCCACTATAGCCCGTGGCGGTGTATGTGTCGGCTTGGACCTTGCAGGGGCAGTTCCTTTTCTTTGTGTGTGTGAACCAAAGACTGGGGCTCAGTACCCCGCCGCCCGTACGAGAGGGTCTCACACTCTCGGATCCTGCTTCTACCTGCGCGAGGAGGAGCGGAAGGAGGATGCGCAGGAGGAGGAGGAGGAGGAGGAGGAGGAGGAGGAGGAGGAGGATGCGCAGGAGGAGGAGGGGCAGCAGGAGGAGGAGGAGGATGAGGAGGAAAAGGAGCAGGAGGAGGAGTAGGAGGAGGAGGAGGAGCAGGAGGAGGAGGAGGCGCAGGAGCGGGAAGGGGAGGCAGGAGGCAGGACGTTGAAAAAGAGGTGGAGGGAAGAGGAGGAGGAGTAGGAGGAAGGATCAGGAAGACGGAGGGGGGAGGCGGGGGAGGACGAGGACCAGAGGAAATCGAAGATGCATCAACGATGCTGCAATGCACTCCCATCCCAAGTCCCCTCCTTCAAGTCCCGCATGCATTCCTCCTGCACGCGCCCCTTTGAAGTATGAGCGGAACTGTCCAACGAGAACTCCCGTTCGAGAAAGAGTCGCCCTACCACCGTGTAACCTGAAGCCAACGGCTCATGC